ACTCAGACACTCCCCCATTACGTCTACCTGCATATCTGCGCATGTGCTACCGTACATCACCTTACTTAATCTCCTGATTGGTCTTTCTGTCCGCTCTGCCTCTTCGTTCAGCTGATATGCTAATTTTTCGACTTCGTCCTTAATTTTTGCACACCAGTGTAGTTTTTCGAGTACTTTTTCAAAATTGTAGTCAGTTATTCTTTCATGAAATATGATGAAAAGTGTGCATGGAGATTTTAATTTTATTTGTTTTTGTTCGCAATTTGTCAGTCTAAAGTCTTCTGTTAGACTACATTTAACGGAGAGGAAAAAATACTGACCTTTCAAAACAACTCAGCTTTGGCGAGACCGCGTAATCCTTTGGTCAGAACACGTAGTAATGAGAATGAGTAATCGTCACACAGATCATTGTTTTATGGTACGGCGGGAACTAATCATTTTTAAGCTTCACCCAGATAATTTGAAACAAATATTCCAATGCAGAATTCGTTACTAAATTAGTTACCAGTACCTTTAACTTAGGAAATTAATTCAATAAATAAAAAGTTCAGAATACGTATATTGGGAATTCACAGGTAAATAACCAGTGATTTTGCATAATATAAACGTTACATTATCTAGCAAATATGATAAAGGAGGTTCTCCAGCTCTGCATTTGGCTCTAATATTAAACTCTTCTGGTAACTTTATAAGGTATTTCTCCCGCCTTCTTAGCATGCCTTCGTCGTTCTTAGCATGCTCGACGCGTATTCGAGAGATCCGTGGTTCGATTCCTGGCGAGGGCGTTGCTCATTTTTCTCGTCTCCCGCTTCAAAATAACCTAATGTCTCTACAGGGGCGCCCAAACTAAAAGGTGGTGAATGATGATTCTTCACCACAAATGATTTCGCGATTGGTTCCTCTAATCCCGAGTCGCCATTTAAATGGGGAGTATATAAGATATTTCTCTTGCTTTCTTAGTTCGACCTTCGTGGTGTAGTTGTGCCTTCGTGGTGTAGTTGTTAGCACGCTTGACGCGTATTTGAGAGGTCCGTGGTTCGAGTTCCGGCCGGGGCATTGCTCAGTTTTCACGTCTTCCGCTTCGAAATAACCTAATGTCTCTACAACTTCACATAAAGGTTTTTCAAGTTTTCATTCCTGTACGCAAGCGTAGTCACAGCTCTCAAATAGCATCTCCAAGCAAGGTTCGATAATGTTGCCATTTGATCTGATAAATCATCTTTACTTTATCTCATAAAGTATCAATAATGCTATTAGGCATTTTATTTTGGACCAGCTGCCGTGAAAAATATGCAGCGTTCTCACCGGGATTCAAACTCGAGACCTCCCGATACTAACCGAACACACTTTCAGTTAAACCACGGAGGCACGCGGTAAGGAGGAAGAAAATACTTTACATTCCCTTCCACTTAAAGGGCTACTGGTGAGGCCGGGATGCGTATTTTTACTTCTTCCCTAGGAAACGCAACCCGCGATTAAATTTGGCGATTTATCAGGTCTTGGCGAAATTGTAACACCAAGTGCATGCGCAAAAGAAAATAACGCTGTTGGTTTATGTTTCAAATTTGTTATGGCTGCGAGTATGTAAACGAAGTGGAAAATGAATTTTATAAAATTTTATTTGATGGATATTCCTACGAAGTAGTGTCTTCCAAGTTCGGAGGAAAAGAGGATTTCGACTTTGAGATCAGATGTGATCTTAATAGGGAAGATATATGGGAGAATTGGGAAATACATTTTGAAGGTGTTTCCCACGTGCATTGGATTGTATCTTCCAAAACAAAATAATGCAAATCGGAAACAGCAAAGTTTATTTTTAAGAAAGATTATGTGTGACAATATGCAAAACTAAATAAGAAAGAGGATAGTATCAGAAATAAAGAATGTTTAGCTGCTTTGCATGTCAGAATTAAAAAAAATAATAAGTATACAAGATGTCGTGATGAGTATGTAAAAAAAGAATCTGTGCACTTTGATTAAAGTTTCATTTCGGCATACACATCGATGTGATGTTGCTGAAGCGTGGAATTGCTTACGCCCAATTGATTCGGTGAAAGAAGTGTTCATCAACTACTTTCGTGCCAGGTAAAATAACAATTAATAACATAATATTTTTATTCTGCTATACATCCACAGAATTCACTGTTAGTAAATACCGTCAAAATGGTGACGATAAAGGCAGTCTCATACACATGTACCTGAGCACAGAATTGTTCTACCTAATGGGCAATATGTTTTATTACTTTTCGTGATATTCAGTACCTCATATTTCGTACAATTAATTTTATTTAAGAAATAGGCATTATTTTAATTGCCCTAGTTTTTTTTTAGTTTAATTGCCCTAGTTAGCTTTGAAGGCATTTTTGCAACAGCTGAAAGCACATTAGATTGGAATTGTTAAGCATATTAATTCATCCATTACATTATGGAATAATGAATAAATTTATAGTTTCTATAATATATTGAAATGACAGCTTCAGAATATAAAATTATTCAGACACGATAGAAGGAGAAATCACTTAACTAATTGATTATTTAATAAAAATAATTAATGTTGAATGTTGAAGCAATTAATAAACATATGTAACTTTTGATTTAGTTAAATTCTAAATATAATCACACACTCCTCTGATAGTAATATCAAAAACGTCTACGAAATCATTGGCCAAGAGTGCACTTGATTATGTTTGTCATTAGTTTAAACTTTGGACACATTATAGGTGACGATATAAATTTGCCTAGCTCTGTCTCATTTTGAAACAATGACCAGGAGATAGATCCAAAAATCATCTCTTCCGTTCCAATTAACTCTTGAGGACTTATTTTTCCATGCTATGTACCAGGACTTAATTTATAAAATTAGAAGTGTTGGAGCCTATGGAAGACTGTGACGAAGGAAAGAAAAAATAAATAAATAATTAAAATAACTAATAATTAGGTAATAAATTTAAATTAATTAATTTGATTTAAAAGCAATAAGCGCCTCTTTTTTATAAATCAGATGTTTCTTTTATCGTTTTAGTAATATATTTAATTGAATAATTTTAAATGCTTTTAATTTATGAAGTATTTTATGTTAATTAACCCACTTTTACGATATGAATATTTACTAAACGAAATGTTTAACAAATGCAACACGGTGTATCCATAAGAAAGCAGGTGCTTCACTAAGAATTTAATAGCAAAACGAAAATAAAAATTAATAAATGTCTACAAACGGTCAAGTAATGACATGTAGAAACAGAAAAAATTAAAATAAAATAAATAATACGGGAGGATCAAAACCTAAACTTTCGAAAATAGATGCCTGTACGACATACGGACTATATTAGAACTTAGCGTAATAAACCAGTATTGCACTGTCTCCAGAGTATTTTACAGTCGCTCTCGAAATCGATATTCCATCCGTTAATCTTAATCCGGTTGTGAATGTAATTAAAGAGGTCGATGATGTTTTTAGTACCGCATTAGTTTCCATTATTTTAGTAACTCATAAAGGACCTTCCTCCATGTCCTGCTGTGCTCCCTCACCGTGGCGGGCAGTAGTACTGGGCAGATGGGTGACGTATGTCGGGAGCCTAGCTCCTGTTATGGCCATCTTAGGTGTGAAGGCCGTTACAATATGACCAGCTAAAGCATGACGATCAAAAACCCTTCAGGGGATTGACTGCTTTGTGATCGGGTACCCTACTCTCGGAATCCTAGTGACTTTTTCCGCTTTTCCTTCTACTCTTAGCTTTCTCTTCTCCTTCTGTTTCTCCTCCTTGGTTCCCTCTTTTGGGGAATGGGGCTCACTGCGAGATGCAGTTACAGCTCTTTTGTTTGTGTCTTGCCATGATGACAAAATTGCCTACCTATCTGCCTTGCGTGGAGACCTGTGCAGTTGGAAAAGAGGATCCTGGTAGTTGAGGGGCGATGTACTATTTCCGGCACCCTGCTTTAGCCCCTGTTCAGTCCTAATGGAAGGCATTTCCACTAATGTCAATCGGTTGGTCACTTGCTCTTTATATCAGTGGCTTGTGGATAAGTTTTCAAGAGCTTCCGCTCGTGGAAAAGCGAACTGTGGGATTTCAGCTTACGTATAGTTCAGCTTGCATAATGAACAGGGTGTTAGGGGAATGGCCCGAAGAAAATGTTCTTCATAATTTCAGACATACGATATAAATTGTAATGAGTTATCCGTACATAATTATTGCATGTTATGGGAAAATAGTGTCATTATTCCGTCTTCTCTTCAATTTTCTGTTTTGAAGAAATTACATTTAACCTATCTAGGTTAAGAGCATTGAACATATGAAAGCACCCGAACGTTCTTACGCATGGGCGCCAAACATGGATTCTGATTTTGCAAATACAGTGTTTGCCAGGAATTTAGACATACTCCGCCAACACAATTTTTTTACAGTTCAGGATTTTTCTTCATCCTTTTTAATAATAGTTTTAGGTTTAAGAATGCACTTAATTTATAATATATCCCAATTGATAAGTAGGAACATATGTAGTATTATTATAATTAATGAACGCTATTTTAAACCTATATACTTTTTCTCCCTTTCTTTTTTCTTCTTTCCTTTTTTCTGTGCAAAGACTAAATATTCATAACACGTTATTAAATGTACCATACTGTATCTAAACGAAGAACGTTCAGAACATTCATAAATCTTTATTTCGTCAAAAATATGCTTAAATTTGACAGAAAAATCTTGATTCATAAGATGCTTGATGATTGATTCACAAGATGTGTTGTCTTGCAAAAAATAGCGTGAATGTGCGGCCACTTTGTATGGTCTGAAATTTAAAAGCTTTAAAGCTTTTTTTTTGTCATTTAGTTAATAAATAAAAAACAAATTTTCTGAAATAATTATTTCATAAGCAAATCTTTGGACAAATTATCTGTATTTTTAGAAAATATGCTTGCGCACTCTATAATTTGTCAACTGCTTTCGAGGCTATTCCTGTACGCTCTGGCAACAATCGGCATGTAAATTAATACTAGTGACAGAGTAAAAGTGAACGGACGTATGTTATGTTTCGTCGTTGATCGACTGTAAGTCGTTGATTGTGTATCGCTTGGTGTCACATTTTTCTTGTTGTTTGGACGTTTTGATTTGTCATGAAATCGGCATTCTTTAAAGATCGTTTAAAACAGAATTGTTTATTTTTTTATTGAAATATCTGACGAACTTTAATGCTGATTGCAGTAAGTACTACTTACTACTACGTTTCATTGCTTGAACTTCTTTAATAGGCCAGCGGGCTCGTTGATTTTTAATGAATATAATATTATTCATCGTTTATTTAAATTTTTATGAAATAATAGTTGTTGAGATCTCATATCTTTCAGAGAGAAAGAACCACCTTAATAAGCTGGTTGGATTTCCAATATTCATTAAATTCATTCCTCCAGTTTCTGTTGTATTTCGAATGATTCAGATGTCACAGATAGTCTTTGTGAGTGTAAAATGTGCGATTTAATGAATTACGTGTATGTGCATTTTATTTAGAAAGTTGCATAATAAACAATTCCTTACGAAAATTTTTTATAGAGGTAAATAGAGCTCTCTTTGCTTCTATAAAAATTGTCGTAAAAGGTGTATTAATGTAGCATAACTTCGATTTAAAATTTACAAAAGTACAAATTGCATGCAAATTTTAGATCAAGGAAAAAAAAAAAAAATGTACAGGGCTTGAATGAATGTTTTCGTTTGTTTTGAAAATAATTAATATTGTTGTACGACAGTATTAAGATCTCGTATTCAGTTTAATACAGTTAAAATATTTTCTTTTAATGGTTATAATGTCTGCAACCGATATAATAATAGTCTTTTCTTCTTTTATGGTTACAAGTTCAAAGTTAATTTTTCAATTCTATCCGCTAGATTTGTTATGCTTCAATTGAATATGAGATGTTCTTTGATACCAATGAATGTTAAACTCTGAACTTCTTCAATGGATTACCTGTAGAAGAATGACTAATGAATGTTATAACATTGAAACTTCAAATGTATTTTGAATTATTAGTAAGGATTAATGCTAGTTGCGGAGTTATGTTGCAGCATTTTATCTACATATTATGCATTATTTAATCTGAAAATGATTTAAAATTTGTAGTACTGTTCTGCTATCGAAACTGGATTCAGAAATATATGAATGTATGTACGTGCAAATACATGTAAATGTATACAAGCATATATATTTGTGTTTACATATATACACGCATATATGAACACATCCATCTATACATGCATGCATACATACATACAATTCTGGATCCAGTCCTGATAGTAGAGCAGTACCAAATTTCGTTACCTGATATTTATTGTTAAATGGTGAGTCATTCATAAAGACAATGTGGCAAGTTACTTATTTGAACTATACTTTAGATGAAATTACCAAACTCTAAAACTGCTTACTTTGTTCAGTGAAAAAAATTAGGGTTGATCTTTACATTACGGTAACTTGGCGATTTTTTGGCGAAAATTTGGCGACCAACTCCCCTACAGCAACCCTCTATTTTTTTTTCCCCGCCGCCATTTTGCCTTCACGAAGTAAAGACATGTTTCTTTTCTTCTTATCTACTGAACACTTCTTCCAACAATCTACTACCCGAATTACACTTATGCTAGAAATTTTATCAAACAAAACTGCTTAATCATGACAAATATTCACTGCAAAATTCGGAAAAAGTGCACAATACCATACACCTTACGCGTTTTTCAAAATAACACATACACATAAACCATGTACATGCCGACTTATTTTTACTTAAAAAAAAATCTCAGAATTGCACAAAAATGGCATTGCGCACACTCTTCACTATATCCATGTACACTGCTTTTTCTCATCATAATTAAAAAATTTCACGAAAAATACATGACAATTTTCTCAATCTTTAAACCCGGTAAAAAGAAAATATATGAAATTACATGATCGCGAAAAAGTATTTACCCTTTACAAATATGAACATTTCCACATATAAAATAAATAAAATATCCAAAAACTTTTACCTCTAAATCATCTATTACATTATACCACGTCACCAACGAATTCATACATGAAGCATTACAAATATTTATTATCAAATATTTAAATTATTTCCATGCACATTTATTTCAACTTAAACATACACCAAATTCCTACAAGTATAAATTCACAAATAACTATCATTTCATTAAAAATATATTAAATTCAAAAACACCACTTAAAATATACATGAGCACATACATTCAATTAATAAAAATTACCTTACAATCCTAATTACTTTAAACTAAATCATTGCTAATACAATTTTCCCAATAATACCAATTCCTTTCCACCTTACATTTCCAACAATGCATAAAAATAATTAAAAATACTAACTTACCTAATCTCCTTCAGAATCTTCATTAGTGGCGGATACACTTTCTTCATTCTTTTTCAGAATCTTTTAAAACATACTTATCTTTCAAAGCAAGATACCAGGTAAAATAAATAACATAAAAAACATGTTTATTTCTCTCTCACACAACCTTAAAAAACATTTCTTACTATCCTTTTCAATACCACTAAATACCCATTTCGAATTCACTTTACTTACGGCCATGGGATCCAAAAATTCACAAACACTATTTCACACAACACAGAATAAAGCCAAATACAAAATTTCCAGATTTTTTCCCGATTTCCCCCCTTTTCCGATTAAAGAACCGTAATTCGTCCATTAATATCAATGACATATCCCATGATCTCTCATTTCCCCCAACACAAATAATTGCGTAATCGGAACTCAGTACTGCTCACATTATTACCAAAGTCCCAGGTAGTAACCTTTATCGCCTCCAAAATGTCGCCAAACTACCAGTTACCGTAATGTAAAGATCAACCAAAATGAGACTCTTTTGATATATGGTATATTTGTGTCCCAGTTTCAGCTGTGGTTGTAATCCGCGCTCTCCAAGCATCTTTTCTGGTTTTCATGGCTGCTGGGCTCTTTGCCATTTAGCTGTGCTGCCTTGACTACATTGGTACTGCTTTGCTGCAGCTTAAATATGCCAATCCAGTGATGACGTGATTATGGGCTTTTCTTTTCCTGCTGGCATGTAACATTTCCTTGTCTTCAGCGACTGCATTTCTTCTGCCTATTGTCGCTGGAACACAGAGGTATGTTTTTCAAGCCATATTTTTATCTGGAAGATTTACTCACAAAGTAAATTTGCTAGCTAGTGAAATAGCCAGCATGTGTCCTAAATGCAAAGATAAAAATATGATTTCAGCGTAAAAAATATATGTTCTAATTTCTTTTCTCATCTTTGTTTTGCATATCTACTGAACTTTGACACTTTTAAGTTCAGTAGTGTTTTTATACAGTACAAAGTCTGTAATCCGGATGTCCATTATCCAGAATGATCTATAATCCGGACCTCAAAGCCACAAAGTTCTTTTTTTGTATGCTTTACGCATGTGCGTTTAATGTTATGCATGCTTGTTTAATGTTTACGCATGCACGCTTAGCACAAAAAACGAAGCAACTTAAACAACTTACATTGAAAGAAACGTTTAAGAAAGTAAACAAATAAATATTAAGCTTTCTCTTTATAAATTTTGGGTTGGTATTTACATTATGGTAACTTGGAGTTTTTTTGGCGAAAATTTGGCGACCAACTCTCCTACAGCAACCCTCTATTTTTTTTTCCCGCCGCCATTTTATCTTCACGAAGTAAAGACATGTTTCTTTTCTTTTTATCTACTGAACACTTCTTCCAACAATCTACTAGCTGAATTACACTTATGCTAGTGATCTTTACATTACGGTAACTTGGTGATTTTTTGGCGAAATTTGGCGACCAACCCCAAAGAGCAACCCTCTATTTTTTTCCCCGCCGCCATTTTGTCTTCACGAAGTAAGACATGTTTCTTTCTTCTTATCTACTGAACATTCTTCCACAATCATAGCCGAATTTACACTTATGCTAGAAATTTTTCAAACAAAACTGCTTAATCATGACAATATTCACTGCAAAATTCGGAAAAAGTGCACAATACATACACCTTACGCGTTTTTCAAAAATAACACATACACATAAACCATGTTACAACGCCTACTTATTTTTACTTAAAAAAAACATCGCAGAATTGCACAAAAATGGCATTGCGCACACTCTTCAATATATCCATGTACACTGCTTTTTCTCATAAATTCGAAAAATTTCACGAAAATACTGACAATTTCTCAATCTTTAAACCCGGTAAAAAGAACATATAGAAATACCTGATCGCGAAAAAGTATTACCCTTTACAATATGAACATTTCCAATTAAAATAAATAAAATATCCAAAAAACTTTTACCTCTAAATCATCTATTACATTATACACGTCACCAACGAATTCATAATAAGCATTACAAAATTTAGTATCAAATATTTAAATATTTCCATGCACGTTTATTTCAACTTAAACGAAACCAAATTCCTACAAGCATAAAATTCACAAAATAACTATCATTTCATTAAATATCACTGAACCATGTACACGTCGAACTTATTTTTACTTAAAAAAATCCCAGAATTGCACAAAAATGGCATTGCGCACACTCTCACTATATGCATGTACCTGCTTTTAATCTCATAAATTAAAAAAATTTACACAAATACATGACAATTTTCTCAATCTTTAAACCTGGTAAAAAGAAAATATATGAAATTACATGATGCGAAAAAAGTATTTACCCTTTACAAATATGAACATTTCCACATATAAAATAAATAAAATAAAATTCCAAAAACTTTTACCTCTAAATCATCTATTACATTATACACGTCACCAACGAATTCATACATGAAGCATTACAAATATTTTTTATCAAATATTTAAATTATTTCCATGCAATTTATTTCAACTTAAACATACACCAAATTCCTACAAGTATAAAATTCACAAATAACTATCATTTCATTAAAATATAATTAAATTCAAAAACACCATTAAAATATACATGAGCACATACATTCAATTAATAAAATTACCTTACAATCCTAATTACTTTAAACTAAATCATTGCTAATAACAATTTTCCCAATAATACCAAATCCTTTCCACCTTACATTTCCAACAACAATGCATAAAAATAATTAAAAATACTAACTTACCTAATCGCCTTCAGAATCTTCATTACGTTGCGGATACACTTTTCTTCATTCTCTTTCAGAATCTTTAAAATCATA